TTCTTTACTTTTGGGATCTTCTTGGGTGGGACACTGCTGTTTGTTTACCATGCACTGCTAATAGAGATTTAAGGTGAGAACTTTTTCTCCACTGGTCCATTTTGGGGCTCATCCCGTACATTTAGCATCTGCCATGCTATACTAAATTTTTTTTAGTTGCTCTTTTGTTTCATTCTGAGGTATTGTCATTTTTATTCTTTTACATGTCCGACAACTTCCTGTCTTTTAGCTGTCCTACCTACAGGTTTCCTACATTTGTCTTGTATGCTTGATGCTGATTGGGATTCTGGATTGATTGGTCTCACCTCGATTGCCTCTTGGGACTTCTCCATTTCATATGATGTGTTTTTAATCGCATTAGGGTGGGCGTAATAAACTAAATATAAAAATGTAAACAGTGTAAACACAATAACTTAAGCACCTGCTTTATATTATAAAATCGATAGAACTCAACAGGAATTAAAAAGTAAAACATTTCATTATAGTTAGCTTTAAGATTTTTATCATACCTATGACGTTTTTGAAGTGGTGACATCACAGTAACACATAAAAAGACTGCTTAGCAACGGTTGTTGTGTAAGTGACGAGAATTTACAGGACGAGTGATGTAGATATGTAATATATGCTGGGTTATGTTATTCGAGTAACTCTAACGAGAAAGAATATGGACGGTGGTGATGAGTTTTTGCCCCCGTCATATCTCGAAGCAACAGGGCAACATGCCTCTCTTGGTGGGGGTATGACTTTTGTAGATTTTATACCTCGGTGCACGGAAGGGGCTAGTATATTTTCATTCCCAAAGTTCGAGCCATTCAGGTACATTATCAGCTTTTTTTTCGATTAATGTAAAAAATATAGGTAAGTGTAGTTCAGAAGCGTTCGTAAAGGTGCAAGTTACCAAGTTAAGAATTAGGCTTAGGTCCTTTCTAATGTAAAAATTTTACAGCAACGGGCATTATTTTTTAAAATCAATTTGGATCAATTCTAGATATTTCCAATTGTTTCTATTTAATCTGATAATCCAGAGTGTTAAGTCTAAAACTACTGACAATCAATTAATATCTTAATCATAATGTGTATGCCACTTTATTAATTTTCTATATCACTGTGTGTGTGTGTGTGTGTATAAATATATATATATATATATATATAGTGATGACACTAACTGTGATGGTAATGTTGTATTCTGACCCTTAGGCAACAAAAACGTAGATTAGATCTGAACTGTCTGTCCTTAAAAAAGTAACAAAATTTTAATTAACTTTGTATTTGTGTCTATATGTGTAGCTACTCAGATTGTTGAGGGGTAAGTGGATAGTGAGTAATTGAACTGCAGTCAGAAGTATTATTGACGTTCGTTTGTTTAGCGCGATTGTTGAAGTTGAGTGTATCGGTAAAGTTATATTCGGAAAGAATAAACCAGTTTTATTAAGTAAA